GGAAAAATTTGTTTATGACCTAACTGTAGCTTTGACTAATTCCTGCCCTTCCTGTTGCGAATACCACATTCTTTCTGAGTGGACTGACTGAGCAGAGCTATTCTATAAGTCTTTGGATGCTAAAATTGTACTATATGTATGAGTTCTTTCTCACCCTGAAATATGTAATATAAAAGAGCTAATGCATACAAAAGGAAAGTGTCACTAGTCCAGATCATTTATGTGTTGTTTCAGGTGTCATGAGATCTCTGCAGCATGGCTTATTTTTATTTATTTTTTCCTCATTAAATTTATTGGTACTTTTTAGGTGTATGGTACAGTTACATTTATCTTTTGGATCTTGTACCTTTACATGACAGGTCTTGGTTCTCATTTTTTCCCCATACCCCTGCCCTCCCTTCACCGCCTCCACCCTTCCCTATTTACAAAGCCTTTGTTTCCATTTTTCCTTTTCTCATATTTTTTTCTTTTCCTTTCTTTCCTTTCCCTTAACCTTCCCACTTCCCCCACTCCATTAGCTCTTTTCTTCCTATTTCACATTATCAATTATAATTTGTGAACTTTATTTACACTTTTAGTTTTTCACACTGGAGAAACCATTTGATATTTACACATGTTCTATTTATTTCACTTAAGAGTATGGACTCAACATGCATCCATTTTCCTATTAAAAACTCTAGTTTCTCATTCTTTACGGCTGAGTAGTACTCCATTTTATAGAAAAACCACATCTTCTTTATCCAGTCTCCAGTTGATAGGGACTTGAGCTGTTTCATGGGTGCACATATATTGCTGTGGTATGATTCTTTTAATTCTTTTGGAAAGATACCCAGCTGAGAGATAGCTAGGGCAAATGGAACTTCTAATCCTAGTTTTTGCAGGATGGTTTAGATCAGGGCATCTCAGCCTCAACACAGCTGACATTTTGGAAGAGTTCACTCTCAGGTGTACCAGTGTCCCTTTTCTCCCAGTTGTTACAACCAAAAATGACTCCTAAAGTTGTCTAAAGTCCCCCAGGTCAGGGCAAGGGTGGAAGATAAAATCATTCTTGGTTGAGAATTTCTGGCTAAGTCTATTTTAATGATTCTATCAGAAAACAACCTCTTCCTCCTGTTGGAGGACTAATGACTTCATTGAAGCTGTGGATTTGCAAAAGTGCTTTACCACCAGAAGAAAAGCAATGAATGTTGGTGATTTTTTCTTGTAGAAAGTTTATTTGAAATGCCTAAAGAAACAGGACATCTGCTTTACTGATTGCTATGTGTTTACCTGACTGTTATCCCCCTGCATTATGTTCTTACTCTTGCATTTAGTTACTAGATTTGTTACCACTTAATTTTAAAAGGACAGTGTTAACCATATTCCTGGACCACTGAGTCCTCAATGCAAAGTCAAATGACCAGTTTAGATCTGGGTGTAAATGTGTGGATTTCACATGGAACCTAGTTCAAGTGTTCATTTCATACCTGATTCTCCCTAGTTTTGAACATTTTTGATTTTCTGTGTAAATATTTTCATCTGGGAAATGAAGGAAATAAGTTAAACAGGTTCCCCAATGGTCCACAGGCCATGACGCTGTTCTATAACAAAATAAATGCAGAGAGCAAATATAAGAAGACTTTAACATAATTAAATAGGGCTTCAACTAATTCGACTAATTCCTATGTGTATGGCATATAATAATAAGATGAGCTTATATTTGAGTAAATAAATTCAGTGTTTTAACAAGTTAATTTTATTATACTTTAGAAATTATTGGTTTGCATTGGATCAGAAAAAGAACAAACAAACAAACAAAAAAACAATCTGGTCTTTCACTGGAGGTATACCATCTTGGAAACCCTGTCTGCAAATATTATGAAAAATTTTCTCTGCCTCTTTCTACGCCGACCAACAAAGATTAAATTTTCCGTCTGTAGTGTAATTAAGAAGGGGAAATATAGTGCTTGTTTACCTATTGCACCATAAAGTTGGTGGCAAATAGAGATTGTTACAAGGAAATTTACAGAAACTAAGAGGTCATTTATTGCTCTAATACATATAAATTTCTCTTTTTATATCCTCATAGTGCTCAAATTAGTGTCCCTTGGCCCATACTTCTTCCCCGGTTTCTATGGATTTTATGCTACACTTCCTCCTCCACCTAAATAAAAGGCAGAGTCATTGACTGCCCTATTAGCAAGGAAAAAAATCACCCTTTCTTTAAGTGTTTTTTTTTTTTTTTATTGAGTTTATTGGTACATTTAGGGATACAGTACAGTTACATTCATTGTTGGGATCATGTACCTTTACATGGCAAGTCTTGATTCTCATTTTTTTCCCCTTACCTCTGCCCTCCCTTCACCCCCTCCTCCCCTCCCCATCTACAAACACTTTATTTTCATCTTTTCATTCTCTCACATTTTTTTCTTTTCCCTTTTTGTTCTTCCCCTACGTATCACACCTTCCCTACACCTTTAGCTCCTTTCCTCCCATTTCTAAATGTCAGTAATCTTATTAGAATCTTATGCATTGTTGCAGAATATTCACACCAGGGAAACTATTCGGTATTTACACATGTGGGACTTATTTATTTCACTTAGGAGTATATCTTCAATATGTATCCATTTTCCTATGAATGAATCTATTCTCTCGCTCTTTATGGCTGAGTAATATTCCATTTTATAGAAAAACCACAACTTCTTTAATCCAGATGTTGAAAATATATATTCAGAAACTCTTTGAAGGCATTTCAAATTTACTTGGACGTAACATGAAATGGATTAGTTCTCTAATTTCTCTGCCTCCATCTCTTTTTTTTCCTCCCATTGAGTTTATTGGTACATTTTAGGTATACAGTACAGTTACACTCATCATTGGGATCTTGTACCTTTACATGACAGGTCTTGGTTCTTATTTTCCCCCTTGTCTCTGCTGTCCCTTCACCCCTTCTTCTCTTCCGCATTTACAAACACTTTATTTCCATTTTTTCATTTTCTCATATATTTTTCAATTATTACCTTTCCCCTGCTCTTTCCACTCTCCTTACACCTTTGATCCTTTTCTTCCTATTTCACATTGTCTATTATATCATTAGGATATTATGTACTGTTATAGTTTTTTACACCAGAGAAACTATTTGGTGCTTACACATGTGTGACTTATTTATTTCACTTAGGAGTATAGGCTCAATATGTATCCATTTTCCTATGAATGAGTCTAATTTCTCATTATTTATGACTGAGTAGTATTCCATTTTATACAAAAACCACATCTTTGTCTAGTCTCCAACTGATGGGCAGATGGGCTGTTTCCAAGTTTTAGCTACTATAAACTGTGCTGCTATAAACATAGGTGAGCATATATTACTGTGATATGATTCTTTTAATTCTTTTGGAAAGATACACAGCAGAGGGATGGTTGGATCAAATGGAACCTCTAGTCCTAGTTGTTTGAGGCATCTCCATATTTATTTCCATAGTGGTAGCACCAGTCTGCACTCCCACCAACAATGGAGTCACTTACTACCTGAATAAGCCTTGTCAATGGGTCAGACATGCATAGAGTGTGTTGACTGTAAGTGTGTTTGTAGTGTAAAATTTATGCTAGCCAAAATTGTCTTATATTCATTTTCCTTGTCAAAAATTCACTGTGCTCATCCTCAGTTTGGCATCCTTGTTTGTAGTGTACTGAAAGTTTTTGTGGTCCAACATTTTATCTATGTAACACTCCATGCAAATGAAATTAAAACATATATAGCAATGGCATTTCCCTAATATGTTTCCAATCTGCTGTGCACTTTGGTAATTTGTTTTGTAGTAGTGGAGAGCAGTGTTACTTGGCTCTCTGCATTTATTCATAATTTTTTGGAACTCATATCATGGCTCTGGTTTTATTAAAATATCTATTGACCATTTCTGAAGTCCTTTATTATTCTGCTTGTGTGAATTAAGGTTTGTACCACAGTGGTATCTGAAAGAACCCATGGGAGGTGAGTCTATGATGTCTTCTGTCTTGTACAAGAAAAGCCAATGTGAAATGAAATTGCTTCACTAGCCAGAAGCCCATCATTGCTGCTGCAAGGCAGCCCTTTAATTTCTGCATGGTCTTTCCTGTGTATTCTTACTTCTATAATTTTTGAATTAAGCATTCCAGACTTATATTGGTACTTCTCTTTGCCCAGTGGACAAGGATACAGTATCTCCTAAGGACAGTGGGTTCATCTTCTTAAAAAATATAATTCATAGTGTGGAAGGTGTGATTTTTACACACTGAATCAGGATTGTGCTCTGTTCTTCACATCATTATTTGTTTGATTCCTTTCTTAAATTAACTGGCTTGTTCCCTCTTTTGAAGATACCTGCTTTTTGCCAATGAACAGGTATGACTTTTGTTACACAGACAGGCAATAACCCATATATGTGTAGTTTCAGATTTGTTTACTTTATTAGCTATATGTAAAATAAAAGTGAAATGGCTAGCCATTGGTTTTAGAGCTGATAAGTCTTGGAAGGTTTTATTTTGTAAGGACAGTAGCTCTTCAAGCGTCTTAGAGAGGAATAGAATTTGCAGTCATTTCCTCTATTTTAATTTATGCATTTATTTCCTACCATACTTAAAATTTCCCTCTGATCTTCAGCAATTTTGAGTTCATTTAATCTTCTGTGAAATCATCTTTCATAGTGGTGATTTAGTTCTGATATCTTTTACCTTTTTATAAGCATAAATGAAGTCATAATCTAAGACATTTTTACTAAGGGAGTTCATCAATCTGTGGTTTTCCATTAGAAAATATTGCCCATGAAGTGGATGGATTCAACAGAGAAAGAATTAATGTAAGCGAATGCAAAATTGATCCACAGAAGGCTTAGTTGTATTCTGAGGAGAATAGCCAAGGGTACAGTGGCAGTGGATCCTGTGATCACTAGTTTTGGTGTGGAGGACATAACTTCTTTTGCTCCAGATATAAAGGAAACCCTGTGCATTATTGGTCTGTCTTCTCACTTTTTTTTTTCATCTAGGTTGCACCTATGAAGGGAACACCTACAATAGCTCCTTCAAGTGGCAGAGTCCCACCAAACCCTGTGTCCTGCACCAGTGCCAGGTAAAGTCCATATAAAAGCAGCCCAGAGAGACTCTACAGCAGCCACTTTCAGCCAACCCAGAGTGAGACCCAAACAGACAAACATGAGAAACAAATGCAAATCCCACAGCATCTTTAAAGTTTATTGTGACATCACTATTATAAGACAGGTACAGGATGGATATCATGTAGAACTTGTTTTCAGAAACACAGTGAAATTGTCCATCACTGTTAAATTGTGTCTGGAAAAACTCCAGGAAGATGCATATATCCTTGGGGAAAATGCATGTCTACCTGTGAAATTATCTTTAAGCAAACGTGAATTCCTGTTTGCAGAAAGGAGGTATTATTAGAAAAATGTATTTTTCTTCTTTGATTTAGAAATATTTTGAGCAAAAGCCAATATGTAAACTATTAAATTGAAGCAATTAGTACACCATGACCTCAGTAACAGCAACTTAATAAATTTAGGAAGAACCAGTTTAGCATCTTCTAAGGAGCCCACAATGGCTCATCCTTGAGTATTACAACAATAGCAGTGGCCCCACATGGCACTGATGGCTGCAGGAACAGAAGATAATGCAATTAACCAGAGGAGGGAAGAACCCACATGTTCAAATTTGTCTTATTTCTCTATAGAAACATTCTGTTTAAGAAAATAATGCTTGTCTAATTTTAGTGTTACTTAAAAATCCTTTGTAGAGAAGGTACTGTTAAATCATTTCATCACAAAACCCATTTCATTATCCCATCATCACATGTGCCCTGGAAGGAGATTGGAAGATGGATATCACAATGGACATTTCTTTCTGGTCTCATCTGAAGCACAGTGTTGTTTAGCATATTGAAATCAGTATTTTATGTAGTCATGTTTTCATTATATGCCCAAAGGAGGCACTCTCAAAGATATTCAGGTGTTCATTCAATTAAATATTCAACTTTTTAATGTGGTGAATCTAAGTTATTTATGAAAATAAGCAGTAGGTAAAAATGGAATGGATATAAACAATAGATTCATTTAATTAGTCAAAGCTTACTGAGGTTTTTTTTAACCAGATTATAAATTCAAAATTATAAATTAGTTTCAAAGCATAAGGAAAAAAAAAACAGTGGCTTAACAGCATCAAAGCCCCACCCCTTCCAAAATTTGTAGCCCTCCATCTCTATCCTGTGTCTTTTTATCCCCTTTCAGTATCAGGAGTTAAACTCAAGGCCTTACACATGGTAGGCAAGTACTCTGTCACCCTACCACTGAGATATGTCATCAGCCCTTTTTATTTTTAAAATCATTTATTTATTTATTTATTTATTTGTACTGGGGATGGAGCTCAGGTCCTTTCTCTTGTAAGGCATGTGGCAGAACCACTGAGCAAAATCCCTAGCCTACCCCTATTTGTTTTTTAAGACAGAATCTTTCTAAATTGCCTAGGTTGGCATCAAACGAGAAACCTCTTGCCTTGGCCTCCCAAGTAGCTAAATTATAGGCATGTGCCACCGTGCATCTCTTACCCTATTTTCCCATCAGATCATACAAATCATTCTCTTCTTACCCTGCCTGTTTTTCAGAGAAATTTCTACTCTTTAGCAGGGGCACCTGAAAATTATGGTGTCAGCCTTGTCCTAAATCAGCAGGAAAAAAAAAACAGGCTACTTTTAACAAATATCAGCAGCTTCCCAGTAAGTGAGGTAAATGGACTGAAAAATACGGCTTACAACTAACTCCCTGGTGTGAAAAAGTGCAGTAATTTTATACATATCTGTCTAGACCATCCTTGGGCAGCTAAGACATAAATATGTCACCCCAGATTCCTTAGCCCCTTCAATACCTCTATAAGCCTAATTACTTTCCCAGTTAATTGCTTATATCACCATCCTCTCAGGGATGTAATTTCTCCCAGCTAGCCAAAACTCTTTCCCTTCCCTTGTTAGCCATTAAAATCCTCTGACCTTAGTCCCTGTCCCTGTTCATTGAAATAAACATTTCCTTTTTTCACAATGGAGAGCCTGTCTTTTGTTGACAAGCAGATTCTTTTTAACACATGGTTCTAGTGTTTGGTAAACAAGAAGACAATATGAGCTTTGGTATGTAGATCACATTTCTGTAAACAACCAGAGGTTCTGAAGGTCCTCAATTGCTTGAACAAGAGTTGATTTTGCTCCCTTTAGATGAAGACATTGCTTATATTAAATGAAGCTACCCTACAGCAGGGAATATTTTGTTGCCTGACAAACACATTAAGCCATTACAGTGGTTAACACTGAGACTCCTTTTACCTGTCATCTTTGGTCATTAGCATGCCACCCAGAAAGAAATGAAGCAGGAATAGCAAGTTATTATCTGAAAAGGCAGGAACTGGAAGCTGTGGAGCAAAGTTCAGAAAGGGTACATCACTTGCTCAATATGAGCCTTGCCTTTCCTTCTTCTGTGCCAAAACCTCACCTGAGCCCTGCTAGTATAAGAGGGCATTTTGTTTCATAAGCAGAAGAGCAAACCTCTGTGCAGATGATCACTGAAAGGTGTGCCTTTGCCTACCCGGAACCTTCCATCTCCTGCATTCCTATTTCCATCTTTGGAAGGGTGCAGAAAGTGACCATTCTCGCCTGTCATGTGTACAACCAAGAACCTACAGGTGCCAGCAAGCCTAATGTCCTGGTCTCTTTCCACTGGAGTTTAATTCCACTTTGTTTCCTATATCCTCTGATGAAAGGCATTCTGGTGGTGAAATATTTGTCTGTATTTTCCCACTTTAAATTTCTTGATAAAAGAGGATGATTTGAAGATCATGGATAAGAAGTTCATGCTGAGAACCAGCCTGATTATCCACCTGGATTGGAGATGTTGAAGGAAAACTGACTCCCAACCTTACTTAGGGTGTCTAGTTGAAGGGTGGTTGGTTGGAGACAGGTATTGGAGACTGTAAGACCATCAGGGATCTTAACCAAATATTCCAAAGAACTACCAATCAGGGACAGTGAGACAACATCTCAGAGGAACCAAATGAGCTGCACCCAAGAATGGTGTCAAACAGACCTTTATTAGTCTGGCCAGATGGCCCCTCCAAGCAATGACTTGGAGAGCGCCCTAAGCCCAGAGTACAAGAGGGTTTTATATGTTTCTAGATGGGGCAGAAGCAAGCAAAATTACAGAAGTGAAATATGGCAGTTAGAAGAAAGGAACAGAACATATAGTTTGCACAGGATGAGACTGACATTTCTGTGACAAAGTATAAAGCTGTGGTTGATCTCTATAGGAATGCCATTTCTGTGACAAAGTGTAGGGCTATGGATAATCTTTATAGGAATCATCTATCTCTTCTACCTGGAATATTCACACTTGGTGTTTGTTCCTGACCATTTTCCTGAATATGTGTTGTCCTTTTGATGACTCCAGGCCTTTCCTGCTTTCTCAAGAGGGTGGGCTAAACCTTTAACTAAGATGGTTTCCATGCTGGCATTTTACGACTAACATTCCCCACTGATCTTAGACTGACATGTAATCTTACATGTTAGTCACTTCTTCGCATGTAGCAAGCTGCTAGTATTTTACCTGTTGGCTGAGCACCATCAAGGATCTTTTTAAACCTTTTTTAATCTGTAGAATCTATGTAACTTTGAGGCCCATGCCTAGTAATTGATTGATACCCAGTATAAACATAAAACATCTATTTCTTGTGGTCAGCTTGTTTCTCAAGACCAAACTATATATAGTTTTAAAAGGCTATTAGCCAGGCATGGTGGTGCATGCCTGTAATCCCAGCACTCAGGAAGCTGAGGCAGGAGGATTGCTGTGAGTTCAAGACCAGCCTGGGCTACAAAGTGAGTTCCAGGTCAGTTTCAACTACATAGTGAGACCCTGTCTTAAAAACAACAACAACAAAACAAAACAAAAAGGCTATTTGTCACAATTGCCAATACCTTTTGAGTTACAACAGAACTGTTTAACTATATTTGAGCATTATCTGACCCAATATTTTTTTGTTTATTCCCCTCAAAAAGTTCTTTTGGACAGGCATCAAAAGGAAAAATGAGGGGATGTCCTTCCAATTCCCATTTAACAGTTTTAAAGGTCACATATTTTTATCATCTGTAGGCTTATAAACTCTTAATTCGAAAGCATAATAACTCATAATAGTTTGATACAATATGAGTCCATATCTTGATTGTAGTCCTTATTCTTCAGCTGTGCATGGACTCACCAGCTTCCAGTATGGTGAGAGGGGGGCTTTGAGTGTGTTGTCTCCTGGAGTCAAAGTCCATGAAATTCTCTGGATAGACCTGTTTCCATCTAGAGTGGTGGTAGCTGAACTTCAGCTTCCTTGACAGCTGTGGGAGTAACCATAAGTGCCTCATATGGCCCTTCCCATGTAGGTTGTGAAGGGGTCATTTTATAATTTTTAGCATAAACTCTGTTCCCTGGTTTTATCAGATGGGCAGGAGTTAGCACATGAAGGTCCTCTTTATTTTTTATTCATCCTTGAATATTTTGGAACATGTTGCCCAGTTCTAACAGCTGTAATTCCATACTAGATAAGCCCAGTTGAGAGAAATTTCTTATAAATTCTCTCAAGATACAGGATGGCCTCCCAAACAAGACCTCATATGGGGAGAACCCAGTATGACTTGAGGTATCTCCTATTTTAAAGAAGGCCAAAGGGAGAAGATCAACCCATAACCCAGTGTTATCTGACAATATTTAGTTAATATTCTCTTAATGGTATGATTCATCATTTTTTCAACCTTACCAGAACTCTAAGGTCAACAGGCAGTATAACAGTTTAGCTAGATTTGTACAACCTCTGTTACAAATGATGGCCCATTGTCACTGCCTATGGGGAAAGGCAGACCAAACCTTGTAATTTTTTTTAATATAATCTTGCATATCTCTGAAGCCCTCTCTGTTTTCATAGGGAAGGCCTTAGGCCATCCAGAAAAAGTACAAATCCATACTAACACATATTTATAACCTTTTCAGGGGGTGGGTATAATCATCTAAAGTTTCTATTCAGTTGTCCTTTTGGCTT